CGAGCAGCAATTGCGTAAGCTTCTTAACTTGGCAAGCTCATGTTCTCTTTTTTATCGTCTCCGTGCTTGTGTAGCGATGGCTCCGATGTTCGAGGCTACTTTGTGTGGTCTCTGCTGGATAATTTCGAGTGGTCGAGAGGACTGTCAGTGAAATTCGGCCTTTACCACGTCGAGTATGAGAAGGACTTGCAAAGAGTTCCCAAGAAATCCGCATGGTGGTACAAGAAATTCCTGAGAAAGTAGTGGTGCCATGTATAGTATAGTAAATTCATTGCAGTATAAAAGAGTTGTTTAACTTGTCCCTTCCGTTTAGCAAATCATACTTAATATGATAATTAGTATGATTAAGCGGGATAGTGAAGAGATTTACTAGTTTTTAGCTATCATCACCACCATAGAAATAGAAATGTGGCTCCAAATGTAGAGTTATGGAGATAGCTTTTTGTCTATTCTTTAAATTTTGTAATTGCAAAGGTTCAGAAAAGCAGCTGATATTAATATTTGGATAGCTATCCTAGATTCAAAAATGCATACAACTAGAGTGATATATGTAACATATACGTACGAAAGGCTGAACAGAGGAAGTACTCTTGGGATCTGGAGTCTTTTCAGCTACACAGTGCAAGTTGTAAGAATAAAGCTTGCTATCTGCAGTTAAACAACTTTGAGGAACAACTTTGGCTTGTTCTTTTGCCTAGAACTGAACTGATCTTTAGGTAGAATTAATGCCAGATTTGCACTTTGTAATGATTCTATTAGCCTGGCAAATGGAATTGTAAAATTTTTTGTATGGGATATGCATTGAAAGATTAAGAAGGTAACCAAGTTTGCAGTCAATCGCCCTCAATCTTCCACGGGGTCCGCTCTAGTATAACGGGAGAGAAGAGAAATATTTTTAGGGCTCTTGATCTGTTTCTATTGTCATAGAGCTGCTTGCGAAGTCTGAAAGTTCATCAAAATTTCGCTTAGGTGTTTGAAGAACTTGCAAGAAATATAACCGTGAATCTGGTGGAAAGTGATCAGTTTAAGAGGTCAAACACTTCTACCCAATCTCGCCGCCTTTGTCCCCCATCCGTCATGCAGGGGCGCATTCCAAAACTTGTTTGATTGTATGGAGTCACTTTGATCGTCAGTACTGCGGCAAGCGTGGGCGTAGAGAGGAGACGTCGAGCTCTCTCCCATTTTCCTGGAACGCTAGTCTCTCTTTTGTTTTGCTCAAATCAAAGTGTTGTAGCTTGTTTTGTTAAGGGTTTTACTTTAATCGACCTTTTTTTCTCTGCGTTCCAGGAACAAACAAGCTTCTTTCTTGCTCTCTAGAAACAGTGTCAAGCATTCCATTTTCATGGGCTTCTCTTTGTCCGTCTCGATTGATCCAAGAAGGTGGTGTTCTTCCAGCGCTCATTCTTTCTGAGCTTCTTATTGTTGGGGGGTTTCCGGATTGAGAGCAACAATGATTGTACTAATCTTTGCATTTCTCCTCATTGTGAGCGCAGTCGAGGGCCATGAGATCCTCAGCAGGAGAAGCTTTCCAAAAGGCTTCGTGTTTGGAACATCGTCCGCGTCATACCAGGTAGAGCTTGGAGTTTTTCGTCATTCTTCAAGCAAAGTTTGCGTTTCAGTATGAAGGCGCTGTTTAAGATACACTCCAGGAAAAGTAATGGATGGAACAACTGGAGATGTTGCAGTGGATCAGTATCATCGTTATAAGGTCCTGAAAGCTCTGTCTGGTTCTTTGCTCCTGACTGTGAACGAACAGGAAGACGTCGGATTGACCGAGCCTCTATCGGAAGGACTTGCAAAGAATTCCCACGTTGGTAACATCCACAGGAAATTTCTAAGTGAGTTATTCAATTTCCTTTTTTTTTTTAAGAACAAATCAATATTATTAATTAGTCAAATTAAGCGGGGATAGCTCAGTTGGGAGAGCGTCAGACTGAAGATCTGAAGGTCGCGTGTTCGATCCACGTTCACCGCATTTTTCGTTTCGCATGTAGTTGTCTCTATCGAAGTTACAGCAGTATGAATCCAGCTCTAGGAAAGTAGCTTCTTCTTCTAAACTGCTTCCACACCGAGCTTATAAAAAGAAAGTGAATTTAAAACCTACAAAGCTTTGAGCTTTAGAAAGAAAATCAAAAGACAACTATTCTAGAGCACGCTGGAACACAAGATCAATAGAAAAGCTTTGGCAATTTCTTACCAAAGCACCACCTATTGCAAGAACTTATTAGAACGTAAAACAAAAAAAAGAGACTTTAGGGTTCCAGGAAAAAGCTCATTTACTAATCATAAACCTATATAAACAGCATAAAACAAGATTTTTTTATGACGATCAAATTGATGAAAATAAAAGTCTGAGATGGCAACCACCTGTACCCTAATTTTTGACACGTCGGCGCTCAACGTGGGTAAAGGAGTGCGCGACACGTAAGCGTGCGCCCTATCCCACATGCGAAGGCGCATAATCGTGCCGGGGCTTGAGTATATAAACAGAGGGCTGGGCAAAGAAAACTCATACCTTTCTCGGCCTTTTGGCTAAGATCAAGTGTAGTATCTGTTCTTATCAGTTTAATAGCTGATATGGGACCACGTGTCCCAACGCTATTAACCTAATTTTTTGTGGGAGGAGGGCCACCGGTAGCTTGCTACCCGGCCCTCCACGTGTCGCTTTGGCCTTACACTACCGCCTTAGCCTGGCACAACCCAACCCCCCCAAATTTTAAACTCAAAAAGCATTGTTAGTCTTTGTTGTGGCTTACAAACATCGGTTCTCTTGAAGGAAACGCCATGAAATAAGATTATGGCGAATCGCGCATGGACACGTTTTAGGGTTTAAGAGAGGTATGGATTCCCAAGCAAGCGCCATATGGTCTCGGAGAGGACGCTCGTCGAAGCGAGCATTCCAGATAAGATGTCCTGCCCCAAGCTTCTTCTCGTCTGTGGTTCATGGCTTGGCGGCCGCTGGGCTCGGAGCTCGACGTGAAGCGCTACAAGCTGCTGCTCTACGAGGCTGGAGGGCACTTCAAAAGTTCCACAGGGACACGGAGGGGATGTTTGCAACAGTGATCGTCCAGCTCGTGGTCCGCCAGGGGCTGGAGTGCTCCAGCTTTGATTTCTCGTAAGGCAGCTCCAGCAACTACCTCTTGACGATCTTCTTTTGCGGCTGCGAGCACCAGCTCGAGGAAGTTACTGGCGGATCGAGGCTGTGCCTGGTTTTCAGCCTGGACGTGGAGTTCATTTGTGTCTTCGCTGCCTCGAGTGAAAGAGCTTCTCTGGGAATGGGTCGAGAAAGGCGGCGGCGGCGGCGTGGTGCAGATAGCAAACGCCCCCAGAAGATCGAACGCACCCCTGATGCAACTCGAGCATCGATCTCTACTCTAGTTTTTTCCATTTCTAAGTTTTTGTGGCTTTGGCAACAGCGTACGGCGAGGCCGAGGACTCAAGAGGGAGATGATGATAGTTACAATGACGATGACTATCCCCTTTAATCATATGCATACTTTCTCAACCGCGAGAGTACAAGAGGAAGCACTTGTCAATCCCGCTGGCTCAACGACCGAGAACTTTTCTTGCTGCGATCAAGGCTTGCGGCTGCTGCGCAGTGAAAGGGGAGGCTGTGGAGATTGACTCCCGGCTTCTCTGAAGAAAGGCATGGCTCATTTTCCCTCGTCGACATGTACGCGAAATCGGCGACGTGCAGGGAGTTTATGATGCGTCGACAACGGCCAAGACGAGCTCGCTCTGGAGCTCTTCCGGCGCATGATGCGAGAGATCCACGAGCAAATCCGGGACAAAGAGTCGCCGGTTTGATGCGTGTCGTGGTCCACAGTACCGTCGGATTCTCTCTCTCGCGTCCGTGGATCGAGTCCAAGTCCGAGAACTTGAACATCATTTAGGGTTTCAAGTCCCAATGGATTCTCGTGAATACCATTCCCTGGGAACGACCCCACTGATGTGCTTCAGAGATGTTATAGAGCTCCTGGGGTTGCGCTTGTCAAGGCGCATGCAATTGATGGCCATGAGGTATTGCAAGCACTACAGCATGACATTGCAAGACTTGGTGTTGCGCCTTGTAGATTCCACAGATTCCGGTTGCGTCCACAACGATGAAGTGGCTTTGAAGTGGCTTGATTATGGGTTGGTCGAGGACAAAAAGAACGAGACCGATGAAGTGGAGGAAGTCGAAGACCTCCACCAGGCCGTAAGAGCAGTGATTATATCACAGCAAAGAGCCGAGCTGGAGGACAAAGACGAGGATTACGGATCAAAGGTGACCAAGCTCATACAGGATCATCAAGAGAGCTTATACTTGGTCATGAAGACTCTGCCTGAACATCTTTCAATGGAGTGGGTATCTGCACTGGCCACAGTCGCGGAAGCAGAAATCCTTTTGGCGGCCGGTGATACAGACATATTGAGCACAGCGAAACTGAGGGACAAACTTGCCGAGTACAGCAGATGGGACATGAGATTGTGCAACCAAGGAGAGCAAGTTTTCCAGAGCTTGTTCCTCACACCAGTCTTGTTGGATTGTGCTCCAAGGGAAGTGGAAGCAGGGCCTTTATCGCACCAGCTGCTTTCTCCCGGAGCCTCTACAAGTCGAGTGCACACTTTGGAGCCGCCGTTCAGGAGGTCACAAGTCAGGCAGCTGCTGGATGATGGAGCTTCTCCACTCAAGGAGAGGCTGGCGATTCTGGAGGATTTGGGGTTTTCCTATAGTTTCACAAATGAATTCTGGGATGTGTTTGAGGTTGGCAAAGTTTTTGTCCAGAAACAGCTCAGCGCAATCGAGAAGATCTACGAGCAATACAAGACAAAGACTAGCTATGGTCAAGCTGATTTGGTTTGGAAGTAAAGTAGTTTGTTAAGATACAGATTATTTTTAATCATAGTAAACACATTTTATCACATTAGTTTAGCTTAGCATCCATCAGGTTTACCTGATTTTAAGTTGAACAACTCAATTAACTTAGGCGACCTACTAAGAAAATCAGAAAGAAGTCATGCGTAGCCACTTCTTCCCATTAGTTGTGCTAGCTCTACTTTCAGTTCCTGTGAATCTAGCTCTGAACTTTTCATTTTTTGAAGAAGCAGCAGATGCTAGATTCGCACCAGAAAGCTATGAGTACATCATTGTTGGAGGAGGTGTTTGTGGATGTGCACTAGCAGCAACTCTGTCGCAAAACTCCAAAGTCCTGCTCCTGGAAAGAGGCGACTCCCCGTATGGAAATCCCGTGTTCATGAGAGAAGAGAATTCTGCATTGAGCATTCTCGATCAAGCTCATTCTCAAGGATTTCTTACCACAGATCTGGTACCAAATGCAAGAGCAAGAATCCTTGGGGGAGGAAGCTCTATAAACGGTGGCTTCATGACTCGTGCACCAAAGTCCGAGATCGACCGGATCGTGGGCTTGGATGACTACGCTCAAGTGAATGCATCTTATGAGTGGCTTGAGAACGGGATAGCGTCGCTGCCTCGGACTGGACCCTTTCAGACCGCTTACAAGAATGCGCTGCTTCAAGCTGGTGTCACGCCCGATAATGGTGAAACTTACGATCATCTTCCAGGAACGAAGGTTGGAGGCACTCTCTTTGATGAGAATGGAACTCGGAGGCCTGCATCAAACTTGCTGCCTCTCTATGCGAATCTGACCAACGTCCAAGTCGTGATAAACGCTCTTGTTCAGAAGATCATCTTCTCAGGTAATTATTCAATTTTTATAAGTTGCTTGAAACCCATGTGTTTTCGTTTTTTCTAAATAGGTTCTGGTACTCCAAGAGCTGTAGGTGTTCAAGTCATAGCCCGTTTATCCGGGAAAACGTTTGCTATTCTTCTCCGGAATTCATCCAAAAGTGAAGTGATACTCACAGCAGGTGCAATAGGCACTCCTCAGCTGCTGATGCTAAGTGGAATTGGTCCCAGAGACCACCTTCAAGCGAAGAACATCGAAGTGGTGGTGGATTCACCCGAGGTTGGAAAAAACATTGTTGACAATCCATCCACCAGAGTCTACATCCTCTCACCATCCCCAGTTGAAGTTTCTCTTATCCAGAGTGTGGGAATCGATCCTTCTGGAACGTATTTCGAAGCGTTAAGTGGTATACAGCACAGTCCAACCGTTGTGGTCACGCAGAAGGTTGCTAACCCTCGCTCAAGTGGAGAGATCCGACTTTTAACTCTGAATGCTGATGATAATCCTCAAGTCACCTTTAACTACTTGAAAGACCCTGTTGATATGCAGACGTGCGTGAGTGGAGCCAACACACTTGAAGAAGTTTTACTAACTTCCAGCTTCAGCCATTTCATTACTGGTCTTCAGCCCATGCCTTCTGGTGGCACTGTGGCTGCTCCAAATCGAAAGAATCCTTTACTGAAGCCAACCATCAACACAACTCTTGCACTATATTGTCGACTAAGTGTGGCAACCATGTATCATTACCATGGTAGCTGTAGAGTGGGAAAGGTGGTGGATCCTACTTACAGAGTTCTTGGGGTCGAAAAACTCCGAGTGCTTGATGGCAGCGTGTTTGATTTCTCTCCAGGGACGAATCCTCAGTCGACTTTCATGATGCTAGCAAGGTACAATTTTATTTCTCATTTTTATTCTTCCTTGTTTGATTTGAACTTATGAGTCGCCTCTGCAGGTACATGGGATTGGAAATGATTAAGCAGGCTTAAATTTCAATATGCTTTACTTGGTTATTCTTACTTAATACTCTGTCATATGCATCAACACAATTTGCTTATGTGATTTATTCTGTGCTCTTCATTAAATAATGTTTGATATATATAATTGTCTTGGCTTAGTAGTAGTATGTTACGAATATTCTCTGTGGACTTAGGGCTTTATGATCGCTCGCGCTAGCAATGCGCTGCCGGTCCAGGCGCGCGATGGGCGCGGCGACAGGGCGGAGATTCTCGCGGCATTGAAGGAGTGCGCCAAGCGCAAGGATCTAGCGCGGGGCAAGAGGATCCACGCGGCGGCGGTGGAATGCGGCCTGGATTCCGACCTGTTCGTGGGATCGAGCCTGGTGAGCATGTACTCCAGGTGTGGCAGCGTCGCTAGATCGCGCATGGTCTTCGATGCGATGGAATTCCTGGACAGGGTATCCTGGAATTCTCTGGTGCTGGGCTATGCGGAGAATGGCTGGGGGGAGATTGCGCTGAAGCTCTTCCTGGCAATGCAAGACGAGGGGCATTGCTCGCCGGATTCCTCCACGTTTGTGGCAGCGATCAAGGCGTGCTCGTCTCTCTCGGAGAGGGAATCAGGGGTGGAAGTGGAAGGAATGGATCGAAGAATCAAGGTGGAGTCGCTGGAAAAAGGGATGAGAATTCACAGGCAAGCTTGGAGCAGTGGATTCGAGAGAGATATCTTCGTCGCCAACGCTTTGATCCACGCGTATGCCAAGTGTGGGAGCTTGGTGGATGCCACCAAAGTTTTCCACGCGATGCCCCGGCGTGACGAAGTTTCTTGGAACGCATTGATGGTGGGAGCGGCGGACAATGGCGAGCCGGAGCTAGCTCTGCAGCTCCTGGTTTCCATGAAGAGCGAGGGACGAGTAGCTCCCAATCCGAGAACTTTTCTAGCTGCGATCAAGGCTTGCGGCTGCTGCGCAGTGAAAGAGCATGCCAAGGAGATCGACTCCCGGCTTGTCAAGCTTGCTTCTTTGGAGAAAGGTATGGCTCTCCATTCTTTGGCTTGCGAGAACAAGTGTGACTCCAGCGTTTTCGTTGCCAGCGCCCTCGTCGACATGTACGCGAAGTGTGGAAGCATCGCCGACGCGCAAAGAGTTTTCGACTCCATGCAAGATCGCAACGTCATCTCGTGGACGTCCATGATCTTTGGCTGCGTCGACAACAGCCAAGACGAGCTCGCTCTGGAGCTCTTCCGGCGCATGGTGGAAGAGAAGCGGTGTCCTCTCGATGCCTGGACTTTCGTGGCGGCTCTCAAGGCGTGCGGGAACTTGGCGGCGCTGGAAACCGGCCGAGAGATCCACGAGCAAATCCGGGACGCTGGACTGGAAAGAGAGGCCTCCATCGCCGCGACGCTGGTCGATTTCTATGGAAGGTGTGGAAGCATGGATGAAGCTCTCGAGGCATTCCAGCTAAGCTCGCAGGAGGATATGGTGGCCTGGACGGCCTTGGTCGCAGGATATAGCAGGCAGGGAGACACTCCACGAGTTCTGGAGCTCTTCCAGGCGCTGCTAGACAAAGGCCTTCGTCCGGACGTGATGATCTTCTCCTCGCTTCTCTCGGCTTGCAGCCACGCCGGCTTGGTCGATCTTGGCAAACGTTACTTCGAAGAGATGAGCTCAAAGTTTGGGCTGGCTCCCGGGATCCATCACTACCACTGCGTGGTGGATCTTCTCAGCAGAAGTAACAGGCTCGAGGAAGCGGTGGCTATGGTGGCGAGGATGCCATTTGAGGCGACGCTGGTAACTTGGACGACAGTGCTCGCAGGGTGTCACAAATGGAAGAACTCGATGGTGGGGAGAATGGCGTTTCAGCGTTTGATTGCTCTGGACAGGAGATTAGACTCGGCCTACGCTCTTATGGCGAACATCTATGGAAGTCTCGGGCTGTGGAAGGAGAGGCAAGAGATCCAAGCGATGAGAAGTATGAACGTTTTGTAGATAGCTGTAATTGCAAAGAATCGCGCGAAAGTAGTGCTGTTTCAGCTATATTGCTAAAAACTCCCAAGAATTAGGCAAAGTTCTTGTCAGTCAACGATAGTCAAACTTTCTAGTCAGCAAGTCAACTTAAAGCCCAGCAAGTCTGAAAGAGCCCTAGAATTGCAGTGGCTATGGCGCCCGCGGTCAGGGTGCTATGCGATCTCGCCAAGCAGAGCCAAGAGAATGCCGGCGTGGCGTGGCTGATTGGAGTCCCGTGGATGCCCTGGACGATCGTTTCCTCGATCCGCTGCCTGCGCTACAAGGATGGCGATCCAGATTACGCTGCTGAGGAAGGTAGGGTTCCAGGCACAGAGATTTCGGGGTGGATGATCCGAGAATTTGGCCAGGTGAATTGCGGATCCTTCTTCCCGGAGGGCTGGAAGTGATTGGAGCATTGCTGGTTGGATCGGATGCTGCAAAGGCGTGTGCTGTGGCCACGAAAATCAGGGAGGTGTTAAATCTGGTCTCATCGAACGATATTGTTGCTGCTACTCGGTCCAGCTCCAGCGATGGCATTACGTTCTTCTCTCAGGCTCTACAACCGATCGAGCAATCTTCCTTTTCCGCGAAAGAGTTTTGGGAATCCACAGCGCTTCTTCATTGTCAAGTCGAGCTTGGCCTTTCGATCTACACATCTTCTGGAACTTCCTCAGGTAGTTCGTCTAGACTTTTTTTTTCTCTTCTACTTTTCTAACTGTGTGACATTAGATCTTAAGAAGCAGCTGGATGGGAAAATTAGAGACCTTGCCGAGAGTTTCACGAGCTCAACCACTGTATGTATTATGGAAGGATCGTCGAGAAGTTTTCTCGCTCGCTCTCAAGCTAACGAAGAGCTACAATCTGTGTTCCCAGATTCAGCGCTTTTCGACTCTTCGGTAAGCTTTCAAACACCATTTTGTAAGAACTCTGATGAGGTTTCTTTCCAGATACCACATCCTCTGGCTGTCAAGCTTTTGACGCAGCAAAGCAAGCAGACTGATGAAGTGATTGCCCCCGTGGTTCATTACACTCCTTGTAAGTGGTGCCGGTTGGTTTATCCGCTTCTCATTTTTCTTACATAGCTGCAGAAGGAACGTTGCTACACACAGCCACGGTTTCCCTGGATGTGCTATGCTTAGTTTCCAGGAACTCCGCCTTGCACAAAGCGATGAACACAATCACTCGTGCTCTGACGATTCAACTGGAATCCATTGGTAAAGCTTTGTCAGCAAGGAATACCAGTCTTCAGGTACGACTCGTGAGTAGAGTAGAGAGCCATGCTTACTTACACGGACGATGTAGTTGCGCCCATATCATTTCAAAGTTCCCGCTAGCGTGCATCCTGTAACAGCCATCTTCGATAAGAACCAACTTGAACGTGACTCTGGTGAGCTTTTATTACTTGCTTCAAATCGACTCACTGTCAAAGTGTGTGTTGTTATTGTAGTTGACCTCCGGAAAGCATTGCATTCTCGGCTCGGCTTGCCACTAGATCGTCCACTTTTTCGCGTTGCCAATGCATTAACTATCAGAGGGCCACAGTTCATCTCCAACAGGATTGATGGTCTGGCTTTACTTGTGTTCAAGTCCGCGCTTGTAAGCACTTGGATTAAATTTTTCCAGGAAAGCGACTTTTGGATGTTCATCTCGGTCTTCCTCGTTGCGGGAGTGAGTTCTTAATTTGTATTATGTTCTATGTTAGCTCACATCTGTTATTCATAGTTTCTGGTGGAGAAGTGAGTGTTATTGACGGCTCGTACGAGTACTATCACTACCTGCAGGATCGAATGGACGACAAAGTAAAAAAACAAAATCTGCTTTTTTTCTTTGCAACTCCCGTGACTTTGGATTGCTTGCTTTCCAGGGCTGGGGCTGCGCATATCGATCCTTGCAGACTATAATGTCGTGGTTTAGGCTGCAGCATTACACTTCTATGAAAGAACCTTCTCACAGGTGTAATCATCAATGGTCAGCAACTAATGCTTTCTTTGCTTTTTACTTTGCAGAGAGATCCAGGCAACACTTGTAGAAATAGGAGACAAGGAGCCTTCTTTTGTTGGATCTCAAGAATGGATTGGAGCGATCGAGTTAAGCTTTGTACTAGACAAACTTCTCGGGGTACGTGTTCACTACTCCAAAGCATGGCTCCTTTTTTGTTGTTTTCTTAATCTCTCATTGACTTGTTTGTTTCTGTGTAGGTGACTTCGAAGATACTAAGCGTCCGTTCTGGAGCAGATTTACCGGAAAAATGCCGGGAGCTTGCGGCACATTTCGACACGCAAGGCACTCCAGTTATGATCGGTACGCTTCAAGCATAGAATATGATCTTTTCTCTCTATAACCAAGGAAGTTAAACACAGGGGGTGGAGTCCTGGCATATACATTACTTGGCGTGGATTACAACGAATTTACTGGCGAGAGCGCTTTTCTTATTCTGGATCCTCACTACACGGGCGGAGAGGACCTCAAGACCATCCGGAGTGGAGGCTGGTGTGGCTGGAAGAAGGCCGTGAGCGACACCGGCCGCGAGTTTTTCTTGCGCAACAAGTTTTACAACCTGCTGCTTCCACAGCGTCCTCAAGCTGTCTAAAGTTTCAGGAAAGGTAAGTGCCAGTACGCTCTGGTATTTATAATTCTCATGCATGAGATCTTCGCGCAGGAAATCCGAGTTGAGCCTGAGCGCATCAAACACAAGCAAGCATTTAAATCTTTTTTGTTATCTGTTGCCGAAGCTCGTGAATGGTGGACATCGGAGTCACAAGTACGTGGATCAGCACTGGCTTAAGGTACATTTATAATTTTCTTTCTACGCATTGCACACATGATGTTGAGTGATGGGCGATCCAGGCAGCGAACGGGCGGAGCACGCGCACGATCGAGCAGCGAAGATCATCCATCTATCAACATATTACTTTTTGCTCGAAGCGCAACTTCACGATGTGTCTCGCAAGAACAACACAAAGGTTGGTGTCACTGTCGCAGCTTTTCGCTCACTTTGGAGGAGTGGTTTTTTCCAGTGGATGGAGTCGAGCTCACTCTATCCATCGCCAAGTTTCTACCTAGCACTCCAGCACCCATGATTCCAATAACACTTTAATCGCCTAAGTTCTATCTTTGATGATGTTTTATATCGCTAGATTTTGTTAATCCTTTTCACGGGAATCCAATAACGGCCTATCAACAGAATCTCACGCCAAAGATCCTCGCGGGCTCGTAAAGAATATTCGCGCCGTGTGTTGGCACCGCCACGTGCACGAATTTTCTGCCGACGGCCACCGCGCGTCCACCGCGGCCGCCGCTCGCGGTGGCGCTGGAGCGGGCACATGGCATACCACGTCGCACCGCGCGGGGCCTGGTTGTTTGTTGAGAAAGTATAGTACGCTCTTCGCTAGAACAGCCCTGGCTATGGCGACGGCGAGGGGCGGTCGACCTCATCGCCACTTTGGCCACAAGAAGAGGGATTCTCCTCCATGACGATTTGCCGCTGCTCGATAGCGATCGACTCCTTCGATTGATTGCGAGATTTTCGATTCCCGGCGCACGCAGCGATCGATCGGGCGACGCCACTCTGTTTGTGTGTACCCGACGGCGATGGGCGATGGATCTTCTATCGCTCCTCCACAACCCACATTGCTTTTCGGGTGATCGTGGCGCGCGATAGCAGTGGATCTCCCGGGATTGGGCAAATCTCGCGAAGTGGAAGGAAGCGTTTTGGGGCCAATCTTGGATCCAAGAAGAAAGAACATAGGAAAACAGGGGAATGAGGGCAATCCTCTTCACGGAGGAGCTCATGGGTGTGGCACTCAAATTCTCCAAGAAATCCTCTTCCATCGGCAGCTTGTGGGTGTGGTGGGAGCCCGCGATCAGCAATTCTTCCACACTCGCCCCGGATTCCTCCTCCAAGATCATCGCCAATCGCAAGCCCAGCTCTTCTTTTCATCGGCGAATCCAAACAGGGATCTCGCTGTGCTTCGCCACGCTCCTCTTCACCGGCCTCGTCTTCTTCCTCGTCTGCGCTCTCGATTCTTCCTTCGCAATCAAGAATTTCAATCACCCCCCTTCCTCGCCATCGCCATTCTCTTCTTCTTCTTCTTCTTCTTCTTCTTCCTCCTCGCGGCAGCAATCCAGGGCAGCGGCGATGCAGGGAATGGGAACGATCTTCCGGCCGGGCACCAGATCGATGAGCGAAATCGTCATCGCCCACGTCGAGGAGGATCTCCCCAGCCAAGAACTCCGCCTCTTCCTACGCAGCCTCCTCCGGAGTGGATTGAGCGCCAGGGCCGACGTGGTGCTCCTCTTCCCTGGCGATCCGCGAGCTCCCGGCTATGCCGCGGTGGTGGAAGAGGAGATCGAGAGCTTCAACAATCTCTTGCTCCAGAGTGGCTGCTCGATCTCTAACGCTAGCACTAGCTCTAGAATCGCGAATGGATCCATGGCGCTGGGTCCGAGCTGCCGGAGAGGATCTCTTCTCCTCTCCAATTCCAGCCTCAGCCCATTGAATCTGGAAGCCTTCGCGAGGGCCGAGGAGGAGGGGCGAGCTCGTGCCGAGTGGGCACTGGCTAGAGCGCTCAAGAATTCCTCCACTCCCGGATTGAGCGAGCAAGAGATCGAGGAATGGATCCAGCGGCGCGCCGGCAACTGGATCCCGCCGCTGGGATCGATCATGGGCTTCGACGTCGCGGAGCTGGAGCCGCTGGACACGCTCTCGGGCTTCATCGATCGCCCGCCCATCCAGCTCCGGCGATGGCTGTGCTACCAGATGCTCCTGGGGATGGCGCGGCAGCACCAGCGCTACCGCCAGGTGGTGATCGCGCAGGCCAAAGGAGTGTTCTTGCTGGGCGATTCGCTGCTGGCCATCGCACGGCGCCACAAGGACAGCCGCGCGCTAGTGCTCGTCACCGAGGATCGGACGTGGCTGGAGGAGGCCACCGCCAATCCCGGAAGAAGCTCTTCGGCGGCGAGAGAGATTCTCTCCAGCGGTAGCGGCGAGGAGGAGGAGGAGGAAGCGGCGCCGCCACAGCTCGATAAGCGGAAGAGGGCGTACGGACCCCGGCCCCGGCGGAGGCGGCGGCGGGTCGGGCTGATCGAGGAGGTGTACGGGCGCCAGGTGTGGGGGGCGATAGAGCGCGAGGACAAGGCGGAGTGGGCGGTGGTGAGCAGCGCGGTGGTGGCGGGCGGGACGCGGGCGGTCCGCGTGCTGGCGGAGGCGGTGGCCACGGAGGTGGCTCGCGCCGCCATGATGCGGCCCAGCCGCCGCGCGTTTGGCGACCAGGCGGCGCTCAACTACGTGGTGAGGAGGAATGTCAACGTTTTGGGGCGCAAGGTGGTGGAGCAGATGGTCTTCGTGGATGCCGGCGGCGGCGTTGGCGGCGACGCCGGCGTCGTCCGGGTGGTGACGGGCGGTACGGTGCCCGAGCTCGGCGGTACCGCGCGGTACGATGTGCTGGTGGCGGCGGCAGGTAGTAGCGGGGAGCTGGCTAGGATCGTGGGGGCGGATTTGTGCTCGTCTCCGCGGGAGAGTGCTGTGTACAGTGATTGCCAACAAAGTAGCAGCAGCGGTGATCGTGATCATCGGGATCAATAGCGTGGAGAGTTTCGCACTAAAACTACTCACAGATCGAGTGGATTCGTTCGTCATCCATCACATACAGTAGCTAGAGACAGCGCGAGCGGGTTTCGTTTTGATATTGGGGGATAGGCCGGTGTACATTGTTCTTGAGAGAAATAAGCGAGATTGATCGTGATGATCATGGCTTATGGGTGCGTGTGATCGGTGTTGTTGGGTGGTGATCTCGACTTGGGCGAGTTTGATTTTGTTAATCCGATGGATGGATCGATCAGTTTCCCTACTCATCAGTGTCAGATCGTTAGGTGGCATCGTAAGATCCTGCGCAGGAGAATCAATGCGCTTGATGTACGTCCCCAGGACAAAATGCCCGCCTGTCTGGTCGTGATCTTTGCTCACCAAAACTCCAGTTCTTTTCCCTTGGGGTTCGTTCAACTCAATCGTGGTGTCGGTCCGGTCAATCAAACACCACACTTTGGATCGAAAACCAATGGATCCATCGATCATTTGCAACGAAATGGACAAGGTAACCAACCCATCAGCCACTCCGCCACCCAAAAACGAAAAAGAGGGCTTCAAAGTCTTGTCGTCGTCGACCGTAGTGAGGAGCGAGGAGATAGATTTGGATCCAACCACAAGCAACACCAACAAAAAACTTTGAAGCCTTCTTCTTCGTTATTGGGTGGCGCGTTGCTTGTGGTTGATTCCAAATCTATCTCCTCGCTCCTCGCTACGATCGACGACGACAATGCATCTACATCCCGGAATTGACCGAAAGAACATTACGCTGGCGACGGATTAATCGATCCATCAATGGACGTTGCGGTTGAGGGATTTGCCGCGAGTGGGCATTTTTATGGAGTTTTCGGGGAGCCATAGCCAAGAGCATTGATTGCATGGTCTGGAAAAGGTGGTGGAGGTGGTAATGGTGACCATCCACCGACCTCTGTCCCCTTCGCAAATTCACATGACCAGCGAGTCTTGTTTCGTGAGCTGGGGGAAAAGGCATATGCGGTGGCATATTCACGGGTTTTGCCCTTCTGTTCTGTCAACCTTTAAAGGCTTCCTCGCCCGTCTCTTTCATTCCATGTATGCCCAGGGAGTTATTTTAGAGGGGTCGCCTCGGCTCCACAAAATGCCACCTTTGGGCATTTTACTTTTGTCATTGTGGGTTTTGGTATTTCTTGTTTGGTGTTGTGGCAAAAGGGAGCAGTGAATCAGGCCATGCGAACGAAGAGCTGGCTGGCGGTGTGTCATGTTGTGGCTGCCATGGACACGAGTACAGGGTTTGGATTCTAGGGGTTTTTGTTCTTGGCGTGCGTCAACTTCGCAAACTTGGAAACGAGAACTTTGGAGGATTTGATATTTAATATCGATTTGGATAGGCGACCTTTTCCTCTTTCTCTCGTTCTTTCTTTCTCGCTGCGAGCAATGCAACTTCCCCGTGCCAATCTTTTACATCTGTGGACCTACGTAGAAAAGATCATAGAAAAGAAGAGGATCACGTAACTGTTTGGTCGAGATCATCAGATTTGTTTGCAAACGAGTTTTCCAAATTGTGGGGACGCTCCCTAGTTACACAGTTTCATGCGCTGTCCAGGATCTTGTGGAAAATTTGGCACGAACTTGTGAAGTGTCCATAGTGATAACTTCATTTCGTACAAATTTGGATGTTTTCGCATCAGCTTTGAGATTGTCTCATTGGGTAGTTTGATTATAGTCATTGGATCTTATCATCACAGTTACGCAATTTTCTTATAGAAACTCGAGAGTTTGACACTCGAGAAGTCGGTTTGAAATACAAGTTTGCGTCCACCGCTGCTCAAGGTGAGTTTGGACACTTTAAATCTCTTCTCAAGGTCAAAACCAAGCCACTTGATCAGAGAGCCCTGTGTGAACTCCTTGATGATAGAGCAAGCCGAGGAGCATTTTTCTTCGTCAATCGCTTGACTTAACAGTGCTCTTAAGTTCTTCGTTTGGATCGGCCAGAAACTAGTTTTTCCAAATCCCATCAATGTTATAAGCAGGACTGTACAATGCAGATAGAACCTTTGCTTGCTTACGTGATCATACCTTCTTTGATTTCCCTGACCTGAATTTCGCAATCTCCGCGCCAACTTTGTTCCGAACATTCTTGTAAAACCCCGGGTAAGGTTCGTATCCAAACACGTCATGAAGCACCTGAAAAAAACCTGCCATGCGTGAGCAAAGTCTGCAGGAAACAAGCTCCTCTCACCTCGAGCAAGACGAAGAATGGTGCCATGAGCAGCGCTTGGACGAGATTATCCAAAAGAGCCGGCGCTCGACGCTGGATTGTTTCGCAAAGATCGTTAGAAAACCAACCATCGCTATGGACGCAAAATAGCTCACCTCAAACACTCCATGGCCGATGAACTGCGCAGTCCAGCAAAAAATCTGGCCACCAGCAGCAACCTGGCCAAAGCAAAACCGAAAAAAAGTTGGATGATCGAAGTCCCAGCGAGAAGAAAAAAAATTTAAATCCAATCTCAAAGAAACAATGGATCAACCAGAGAACGAAAAAAAAATGGAGACCAGGAAATCGATCGAAAGAAGAAAAGAAGAACTGACCTTCCATCCAAGAGAAAATCCCATTTTTTGAGCTGCCGCATTGGCCCCAATCCAACACGCCAGGCACATCGCGGCCGCCAGCGAGCCAGCGCGCTTATCCAGCGCCGTGTAGAAGAGCGCGTAGAATCCAGCAAACAGGAAGCTGTAGTTGATCACCATGAAATCCTGGAGCGGCAGCGTCTTGGCGGGCAGCGGCAAGGGCATCAGCGGCTTCGGCGACGCCAGCGCCATTAGAATGAGCGCTGTGAAGAGGATCGGCCACACGAACACGACGTGGATGCCGACATTGATCCTGTTGCTGTGATAGGCGCCATAGAAGGCGAAATGCTTCTCCAGATCGAGGATCCCTCTCGCCATCGCTAGAGTTTTAGGGCTCTTGCGGAGATTTATACCCAAACGCTATCTGGCCGTACACGTGGCAGAATTAGGGTTCTAGCTATGGCCATGCATTCTCTCGCTTCTCCGCGCTCGATCTTCAACGCCGCCGCTGCGGCGCCGAGGCAGCGGAGCTGCGGGCCGGTTGTGCGATGCACCGCCACAGCGAGCGCGTCCAGGAGCTACAAGATTACTGTTCTTCCGGGCGATGGGATCGGGCCGGAGATTATGAGCGTGGCGCTGGATGTGATGCGATCCATCGGCTCACAGGAAGGTAATGCTGTGGCTTTTCTTGAGGAAATGTGAGCGCCAGCATTGTGGTTCCAGGTATCAACTTCCATTTTACCACGAAGCTCGTTGGAGGCGCTGCGATCGACGCTGCTGGAACACCGCTCCCGGAAGAAACTCTTGTGGCGTGCAAGGATTCGGATGCAGTGCTCCTTGCGGCTATAGGCGGGTAAGAATGAGAAAATTTTCTCTCTTCTTTCATCCTTTCCAGCCATAACTTTTTGCTATCTCTTGGGAGATTTGCAGGTATAAATGGGATAACAACGAGCCACATTTGAGGCCCGAGCGTGGACTTCTGGGACTCCGTTCTGGTCTCGGAGTTTTTGCCAATCTTCGGCCAGCTACTGTGTTCTCACAGGTAAAATTGCTGTTGATGGGATTCTTCTCTCACGACTCTTTGCAACTTTTGTGTCAAGTTGGTCGAAAGCTCCACTTTAAAACGCGAAGTAGCGGAGGGAGTGGATGTCATGGTTGTTCGAGAACTAACTGGCGGTACAGCTCTTTCTTTCTTTCGTTTATATTCTTTGTTGCACTTACCTTCTACTTTGGATCGCGGCCAGGGATCTATTTTGGTGAGCCTAAAGGATTCGGCACCAACAAAAATGGCGATAGAACTGGCTATAATACGGAAGTGTATTCGGCACCCGAGGTTCGTCTGTAAGTTTTGTTCTTCTGATGAGCTTGTTTTTTATAGATTGATCGCATAGCTCGCGTTGGTTTTGAGACTGCCCGTAAGAGAACTGGGAAGCTCTGCTCGGTCGACAAGGCTAACGTGCTGGAGGTAAACTTTCATGTTATTTGCCATGCGTAGCTCACTGGTGCATTTGGTGTAGGCGTCACAATTTTGGCGAGAGCGTGTCATAGAGATCGCGAAGGAGTATCCCGATGTGGAGCTCTCTCACATGTACGTCGACAATGCTGCAATGCAGCTTATTAGAAACCCGAAACAGGTAATGCTCAAAGTTCTAGTTTTCAAGTCCTATGATCTTAATTGTTTTCATTTGCAGTTCGATACGATTGTGACAAACAACATATTTGGTGACATTCTTTCTGATGAAGCGTCTATGCTAACGGGTAGTATAGGCATGCTTCCATCAGCCAGCATTGGCCAATCGGTTTGTTTCCAAAAAATTTAAGACGTCCTTATGTTAAGACAGAATTTTGTTTGTTGCAGGGGCCGGGTCTCTTTGAGCCAGTTCATGGATCAGCTCCAGATATTGCTGGCCAGGTACTTTCTCTCATTTGGCTTTTCTAGAATTTCCAATTTACTTTCTCGCAGAACAAGGCCAATCCTTTAGCGCAAATTCTCAGCGTTGCCATGCTTCTCAAGTATGGCCTGGGCGAGAAAAAGGCCGCGGAACGCATTGAAGCAGCAGTCTTAGCAACACTGGACAGGGGGTTCCGAACGGGGGACCTCTTGTCCGAGGGAAAGGTACGTCCTTCGTTGATCAAGCAAAACTCCTAGTCATTTTTTCCTTCTCCTGCGTACACAGACACTCGTCGGATGCAAGCAAATGGGGGAGGAAGTTATGCGGGCACTGCAAGCGCCTGTAGCCGCCGCGCTATAGCCAAGAGTTCCAAATTTTGAGAGACTGGTAGCTATGATTCAGGTTTTGATTCTCAGGCAGGTATGAGAAAACTCAAAACTTCGTACTTATTTTTGTTATGGATGATCCACAAACAAGACAGCGAAAAGAATATCGAAGTGCTCACGCGGAGTAGTCGATATCGATGACTCCTGCGATTCTTCCGAATGCCTTCTGGGTATCAAAAGCTCTCCTGGACAGCAGCCATTACCAATACATTTGGTGGAGTAGAAGTGTCCACATGCGGCTTTAATGTTATAGATCCCTGGCGATGCCGCTGCAAACATAAAATCTGATGGAAGATCGCCGTTCTCGTAGCAGGCCTATTGCGAGACGAAAGAGAGAGCTCATCATCCTACTGGTATAGTGAAAAGTTCCAGTTATCTTCTTACACTCTTTTTGTTTGTGGTGCATAGCTGTGCTAAGAATTCCCAGGCTTGGCTCGAGGATTGCCATGAACACTACGGTGGCAATGGCAAGAGCAGCGAAGGCTTTGGCAGTAGAAGCCATCATGGAGGAAATGCAAATGCGACATGGAACTTGTCGAGAAACGCGTGCGTACGCATTGCGTATTTATACTCGACCAAGAAGCGCTAAAGACCGACTTTGGGAAAGAACAGTGACCGCAATGGTGCCATTTTTTTCTCTTGAAGCCTCTAAACTCCACGTCCCAGACTTTGCCATGCAAGCTCGCTACGTACCACGCCATTAAAGCTTGGTAGAGATTTCAAAGCTCTCACGATTGTGTATGGGTAAGAAGGCTGGAATCGAGAAAGAAATAACAAGATGTCAATCTTCTTGATAAATCCTTTTATTGTGATCATGGATCATTGTAGTTCTTCTTTAGGGCAGCGATAGTGCTTTGGAGCATATCTAGCATGCGTTGTAGTTGACACTGATAACTCCAACAGCTGGGTCTGCAATCCGTGCAAATGCCTCTTGGGAGAGATCAAAGGCGCCTGGACAGCCCGGGCAAAGATCCACGATCTGCACTCGGATGGTGTCGCCATTCCTGCAGCCATTTCCAGTGCATCTCACGCAGAAAAAGGTCCCGCAAGCTGCGCCATTGTTGTAGACTGCCGGAGACGCCGCTGCGAACAGAAAATCTGCTGGGAGAGGATTAAACCCAAAGCAAGCCGACGCTGCACGAGAAGTTGATCGAGATTTTCACGAATGAGAGTTTAGAACTGCAAAGATCTTACGCTGGTATGGAGGTGTGTAGAACGTAGCCCTGCTGGAAATTCCCTGGGCCATGCTTGGCACCACGAGTGCCAGGAGAAGTGCGGAGGCAATGACTAGAGCAGCAAATCCTTTGCTAGAAGCCATGATTCGTGTAGCAAGAGTGAGAATGCTTGTATTGAAAACTCAGACTTTATACTCAAGAGATCGCTGGGACGGGAATGCAAAAAGTGTTCTACCTTGAAGTTTCACAGCGGAGTTCCTGGACCACCAAAAACGACTCTGGTGATTGACGTGGGATTTTCAACACGGCTCATCTCAGATTTCCTCACGGCTCATCTCAGTTTTCCTCAAGATCAGTTGTCCGTTCTGGAGACGTGTTTAAGTTTACGTAGAAAAGAGTTTTGCCGTTCTCTGAGTCACGAGCCATACGATCATCAAGAAAGTCTATCCAATTCTAGACGATGAAGAGTTTGGGTGGCGAAGTTTCTTACATGTCCAAGGTGCCACGAGCCCTATGACTCTCGAAGTCTATGAAGACAATTGAACATGACGTGGAAGACTCTTTTTTAATCTTATTCATAAGTTCTAGCGTTTAGTTTTTTCAACACTTCTTTCCAGAGAAATACGGCTAGCACCTATGATAAGAGAGATTATAACATCACCAACATAGATTTCTTTTATCATTCTTACTGGTAGTAGTCGATGTTGTTCATGCAAATGCCTGCTGGGAGAGATCAAAGGCACCCGGGCAGCCCGGGCAAAGATCCACGATCTTCAAGCGGATAACATTGCTGTTCCTGCAGCCATTGCTCGTGCATTTCACGCAGTAGTAGCGTCCGCAAGCGGCTCCATTGCTGTAAATAGATGGAGCCGCTGCTGCAAAGCTATAATCTGATGGAAGAGAACCATAGCCATAGCAAGCTGATGCTGGTGGATCAGAGAAAAACATTTTTAGGTGTTACTGTGCATGATGAATTCGTGAAAGCTTAAGTTTACGCTTGTATTGGTTGTAGAAAGTGGCTTTGCTTGCGATTCCTAGGCTTGGCTCCGCCAAGAGCAGCGTGGTGGCAATGAAGAAAGCAGCAAAGGCTTTGGTAGAAGCCATGGATGTATGGAACAGGATAATCACGAACGAGTGTTTGATGTTGAAAATAATCGTGCGATGGGGAAGATAATCGTCATGTGATTAGATGTGTAAAAGTTAAATTCTGCAATTCAAGAAAAGATCTTATTTCAAAGCCCTTGGCAAACCTATCTCAAGTTGAATACTTCATAATGAATTGAAAGTAGAACGAGTGTTCAAGAGACTGTTTGATGTTGAAGCTTATCGTGAACGAGTGCTTGATGATGAAGATAATCCTCATGTGATTATATTATAGTTGAGGAATGAAAGTTCAAAACGATATCAAATTCTGCGATGCCAGAATAATTCAAGACTAGAACATGATGCTGGATGCGTATAGAATCTTATTGCTGGAAGAGCTTATTTGAAAGCCGTAAAATTCCGTGTAACCATCAACACCAAACTTCAATAATGCGAGCAAAACCATTAGATTAAAAATAAATAAGCTGTAATTAAATGTAGTTATTAGAATTTTTTTATTGAAGTTAGGGTCAGGATTCGAACTTGTACAAAGATTTGTTTGTATCTTGGCTCACATCGAAGCTCACTTCCACTTTCTTTCCACCACTCTTCTCGACCAAGGCCTTGTAGCTTAGTGTGAAACTTCCCTTCCTTGTCTGTGGAGCCAGAGAGCTCCGTCTGCCACAGCCTCTTCCCAGCTTCATTCACAACATCCTGCCAGAATCCCCACAGCACCACTCCCTCCACCGCTGGATGTGCAAACGCTTCGCGCAGCACAGCCTCCAAGTCGTCCGCTCGGACGTGCTCGTTGCTTGAAGACACGTTCAGCAAGCCACAAAGAATCATCCCCACGGGAATGTAGACATGACCTTGGACTCAGATACCACTGACTGGAGCACCTTGTGTTGAGTATATACACTCTCTATGACATGAGCTTAAATAGCAGTAGTGCCACCTCACTGATCCAGGTGTAGGCTAGAGGTGTGTTTCTTGATCATGTCTATCTTTGTCCATTGTAACTTCTGCATATCTCTTCATGGTATCAGAGTTGTAAGTTTTTGAAAGGGAAACAGAGTCCTGTCGTGGATATGAGAGAATGATTGGATGCAGAGGGGATTCATGTCATTGAGATTAAGAGGGTGTTAAGTATATATGCTTTCTATGACATGAGCATGGTGCCACCTCGTGTACGCTAGATCTTGATCATGTATATTTAGCTATGACAATATATTCAAGCTATCCTTGTCCATCATAGCTTCCACATATCTCTTCACCTTGCGCGGTTGAACTCTCAATTTGCTGGACGTGTCTCTGAGCTGAGGAGCTCGCCTCTCGACCATCTTCAACGTGGTAGTCATTGACGAAGAGCCTGACCGGTGGATCCAGAGCTTGAACATGTTGGCGTGAACCTCGTCATCCAGCCTGCTCTTGTAGAAACCCTGTCGTTGTTCACGTCGTAGTGTTGGAACTGAAGGCAGGGCTCTCTCGACCACCTGATCACGTTCTAGAGGTTGCTCTAAGCCTGTCACCCTGGAAGCTTTTATGGACTCTTCCAGGATTCGGACAGACTTTGGAGAACTTTGCCCACTCGGCAGAGGCATCTCCTCTTCTCCTCATAGTGTTAGCAGCATCTCCGACAGTGTTCAACAATCTCAGAGCTTCTTCTGCTTGAGATGCACTGGAAACGGCTGCAGGGATGGGAACACCATCCGAGTGCAGATCGTGGATGTTTGGCCGTGCTGTCCAGGCGCCTTTGATCTCTCCCAAGAGGCATTTGCACGAATTGCAAACCCAGATGTTGGAGTTATCAGCGTCATCTACAACTGATGCTAAATGTCTCTGATATCCTTCTGATATCTCACTCGCACGTGTTTCCATGATCATACACAATAAACGGATTTATCAAGAGGATTGGTAAATCAAAGGATCTCATTTTTGGCTGATCGATTCTATCTTCCCTTCCCACTTGTAATTGCGAGAGCTTTGAAATGACCACGAATACGGATGTGGTATGTAACACTGTCATAAACATTTGAGAGTATGCAATTTTCCCTTGCTTTAAACCAATGCTTCTAAAATAATGGTTTTGATTTTCACATATTTCTTATGAATTTTTAGAAAGCCTTTTAAATTTCTCAATGTAACTTGCACTTGCCCTTATCATATTGACATCGCTGTGGATTGTTGATCAACTTGCTTGACCAGCTGTCTCCTTGTGCCGCATCTTAGGGCCTGACTCTTAATCCAGGCCCGGGCCTCCATGGCACTGAGTTGTCACCCTCAGCACAGAATGCTCTTCGGGTGATTCACAGCAGATCCATCCAGAATTTCCAAGACGATGGCAATTCCCTTGCCACACCACACACCCAGCCTGAGCATGCAGGGACTTCCCGTCTGTAGATGTTAGTCCACTAGTGATGAGCAAAGCCAAGGTCCATAACTTTCTGTGATTGTGTGGGATTCAGATGAAGCCATCATAATCTTACCCATACAAAGAGCTTTACAAGCTCATTGAATTATGCCCCTTGAAGTTTTAATATCCTTATGAAGTTTAAGAACTTCAAGAGGAAAGGAAGATCTCCATGCTTTCACGCTCACCTATAGTGTTTGTGATTGTGATGGAATGTCTACTGCCATTGTTCAAAGAGATTGTTAGTCCCAAACAACTTGGGGAATGGCAATTCTTAATGCCTACCAGGTTTTCAACCAGATGGGATATAGTAAGCCAGAGGCTTTTGCAAATATGACAAATTCCAGGGGCTTTTATGCAATTTTCACTTAATGGAAAATGGGGCTTAAACTTTTACAAACTAACATAAACCAACATAAATTAACAGTTGGCCAAAACGAATACTTCTACAGATGTCATAAGGATTATATGAAAACAAAGATAAGAGTCTTT